AAAGGGAAAAAAAAAAAAAAAAAAAAGCCAAAGCAACAGGATATCTCCCTCCTGGTGCAACGTTGTGTGCTTAGTGGTTTCAAATATAACAATCCATGTATCTGCCTGGCCAGAGTGATTATCATCGCGTCTAACAGTGATGCTTTGGTTTCATAATGTTTCTCCTCTTGGTTCGTGCTCAGGGTGGCCGGGGAGCAGAGGGGGAGGTGGGCAGCAAGCCCCAGTGGGGAGGAAAACACGCGTGAAGGGAAGGATGCAGGAAGGATGCGCCTGTGCGAGCCTTTGCACGCTCCCTCCTGCCAGTGTCCGGCCAGGAAACAAGCCAACAATTCTCAAATATTGTCAGCTGCAGGGTGGGTTTTTCCTCCATCGCTGTCACCACAGAGGATCCCCGACTTTGGGTGCCACCAAATGACAAATAGCGTTGTCAATGCGAACTGCAATATAGAGAGTGCAATTGCTATTGCCGCATCATCGCGAAAAATTACAAATATATATATCTCATACTGTGACTCCCCCGGGGGTCTGCCATGCTTTATTGATTCCCTCGATACGCAAAGGCCTTTGGATTTATTTTATTCACACAACTGCTCCCGCACACTGTAAAGCAGCCACTCGATGATCTTGTACCCCGTGCAAACCCTGTGTGTTTAAATCCCCCAGAAAAAAAAACCCCAAAAAACCAAAAAAAACACCCTCAGAAAGTGGCAGACTGGAGACCTCCCGAGGCAGCGATGGTTTCTGTACTCCGCTGAACGCCAGCCAGAAAGAAGAGGCGGTTTTCTAACTTTAAATGACCCGCAAGCACTAACTCCGGAGCAGCTCTCCCCTCGCTCCGCGGTGATTGCCACCACGGGGAGGGGAAGTCAGGGAGAAAAGCAGCTTTTTAATTTTTTTAGCCTCACGCTTGATATAACATTTTGTTAACATGCTCCTCTGCAATAACACCTTCCTTCCTATGGCGACGCAATAAAATCAGCACTCACGTTAGAAGTCTCTTTACTTCTGGAAAACATGGTGCCCTTGGTGCTGGGGATATTGAATGCATCTGTATTCCTGACAGCTTTTTCTGTTTTCATTAAGTGAAAGAGGATATTTAGAGGCAAGCTGGAATGGAAGTTGGTTCATAACTCAGAGGAGAGTGAAGGGCTGTGGGATGCAGGCGGCTGATTGAGGACTCGGGGTAATTTCATTCCGTTCAAGAAATTCCCAGTTTAACCAGGATGCTGCGCCCTGCGATACCCCAGACGTCACATCGCCGCCGGGGGCAGAGGAGCGGGAGGGATGATGTCCCTGAACCTGGCTGCTTTTGCAGAATTGGGTTCATCTGCATTTAATTTATTGTAAACACAAATCTTTTCTGAATTACTGTTTGGTTTAGGGAGGAAAAAAAAACCCGTCAGGCTTGCCTTAGAATTTGTCATTTCGAAGGGTTTTGCTTGCTCGGTCCTTTCACTGTATCAGCAGTGGGATTTTAATCTGCCCAGTGATGACATGCTAATAGAAGTAAATAATGCTAAAGCTTGACACACATTTAAATATTATCTTAAAACTTTTTAAACCCTTAAAGGCTCTGCTGTTGAATACGGATTAGCACGATCCTATTACCCGGATCCATGTGGGAGCGGTCGCTTTGGGCTCTCCAGTTTGTGGAGACAGAGCATCGTCCCCCAAGCATCACCCAGCCAGCCCTGGCCTCCTGCACCCCCACCTGCAGATTTCTGCAGCTTTCGGGGACCAAGGAGGGGACGGATATGGGGCAGGAGAGCAGGACCCCGGCCGGCTTTTCCATGACAAAGTCTTTGCTTTTGTTATTTTCGCTTCGCCGCCAAAAGCGAGCTCCAGTGGCACGGCCCCGTTTTGGTCCTGGTTCTCGGGGAGCGGTCTGAGGCGGGGTTGAGTGCTGAAATCTTCTCCTCGAGTATTTGGGAAGGAGTTGCCTGCTGAGAGGGTTATACGATACGCAGCACAACAGTGAATGTTTTGAGGGCAGCAGGGAGCTACACAGACACACACACACAAGTTACCGGCGCCGTGCGATACCCTGATTTCAGGCCACTCGGATAACAAAGGGAGATGCTGGGATGTTTCCAGACTTCAGGGCTTTTTGGGTTTTTTTTTTTTTTTTTTTTTTTTCCCAGCATCTGCAGTCGCCTTGCCCGGCAAAGAACCCTCATGGCACAAACTCAGCAGTTCTGTAATTCCGCAGCCAGGCAAGCCCTGCTGGCCCCAACCACGCTGCAGCCTCCCGTTCTTTCGGTGATTAATCCTGTTAGCGGTAATTAGGCGGAACGTCAAATAAGCAGGATGCTCTTTGAGGATGGGTGGGTGTGATTAGGAAAGTGGGAACGGGGCAAGCTCCAACTGCGGACTCCAAGGAAGGACTCTCCGTGTTGGGAGAGCAGCTCAAAGGACGGCGTCTTCCACTTCTGACTCGTCGAAGGAAGAGCTGTCGATCCAAGGGGCCCCCTCAGGATCCACCCCCAGCTGAATTTGGGAGGGAAAAATAAAAATTTGAGTTGTTTTGGGGGCAGCTTCTGTGCAGGGCAGAAGCTGCTCCTGGGGGTGGCGGGGTATTTCTCTGTCTCCGAAAGGCAAATGAGGAAACCCCGGTGATGTTTGTGTCTGTCTGTCTGCTGTCGGCTCACTGGGCGACACTGATCTGATTTGCTTTTTCCCTGTGGGGTTTTTGCCTCCATTTTCTGCAGCCTGCTCTGGGCAAACACTTTTCCCTTTCCACTCCGGGATTATAAAACAGTCCCTAATGTAAGATGTGTTCCGACCCTTTGCTCTTATCCCCATTTATCCTTTTCTTAATGTTCCCACTTTCCAGACTATTTAATGGATCAATTAGGACCCAGAGAAATGATTAATGACATTTTTCAGCTCCAAACCCAACAGCGCCGCAATGGTACAGAAGATTCCAACGGATGGACGGTGCAGGTGCGACTGGGTTATTTATTGACTCTTTGTGGCAAGGAGTGATTACGCAGAAAAACATGTTAACGAGCCTCAAAATTGAGCAGAAAAGCCCAGAGGCTCAAGGTGGTCTCATCCTTCTCCATCCTGTCTTGCGCATTGAAAATATCTATAAAACGGCGCTGGTTGTACCCCAGTGCTGAGCTCTGGGGGCTTATGGGGAATAAACCTCGTTTCTGCGGGTCACTGGGCAAAGGGGTTAGTACAAAAAATGCGGTTTGTGCTGAAAATGCTCTGACTGCCACCGTGCCCCTCATCAGAGTCTGGTCCGAGAGAAGCTCCTGACGCTCGTAGCCGCCGCAGCGGAGCAGCGGGAAGGAAACGTCAGGGGAAATCAAAGCAGTGGGCTTGAAATCTCGAGCTGGTGAAAAAGCCTTTTTTTTTTTTTTTTTCCCCTCTCTTCTCTTAAAGATTTCAAGCGGGTTTTTTTTTCCGATTCCCTGACAGCCAGCAGGGAGATGGGAAATAATCTGTGTGGCACCGTGCTTGTGGCAATATCTTAATTTTAGCAGGAGCCTTGGACCTCGGCCTCTCTCTTTGCAGTGGTTGAGGTGACGTCCAACTAACCCGCGTCCCTCTCTCAGGGCTGATGCTGAAGCCCGAAGATGGATGTGGCCGTTAATGAGTTTAACGACAAGCCTGTTGCTTTGCCAAGAAGATTATACTACATCGTGTCCTCTCTTGTCTCGTGGCCAGGTTTGGAGGTTCGGGTGACAGGATCCCTGGCAGGAGAAGACCTCCGGGAAGGGTTTGCACGATTCTAGTGGGTTTAATACTCGTGTTTTTGCAGGTAATCGGCCTCGTGATGGCTTGGCTGTATTGGCAAAAGCTCGACGAGATCTACTCCAGGCTGGACACTGTTGACTTCAGGATCCTGGAGATGCGGGATTTCAGCTTCGGGGCGGTGGATCTGAGCGGCGCGGGATGGTGCTGGTGCTTGCCCAAGGAAGGGGGCTACATTCCTGTCAATGCTGAGGATGAGGAAGATGAGGAGGAAGGTGCCATCTGCCACAGCAAAGTGTGAGACGGTGGAAGACTGAAAGGCAGCTTGGAGCAAAGCTCTGAGGGAGGCGGCGGATGTTGAAATGTGGAAATGACGTGATTTATCTTCTCAGGTTCAGGAGACGCTTTGGGGGAAACTGGAGAGTAACGCTGGGTGGTTATAAAAACGCCGTGCACTGTGTGGGCACGTGAGCTTTTACTGCCTTGGTGTTTTGAAGCATTTGTACATCACCTTGTTGGGTTTGGTTGTTGGTTGGTTTTTTTTTAACTCAATAAATGTATTTTCTATTGTTTTTTGCAAAGTCGCTTCCCTTCGCTGCACGCTGGTCGGGCCATCGGGGAGGGAAGTGGCACCGTCATCATCGTGCTTTGGGGTATCTTTATAGTTATATTTAGCCTGATCTCTTGAAAAGTAGTGGCTTGATGGTAGATTCCCAGGTGTGCCAAGGCACTAGAAAGACATAGTTAAAGGAAAAAAACAGAGCAGTTTGCTCTGCAGCGCCTTTCCAAAGGGCTTTCCCAGGAATCAACCCCCCAGGGAGGCACAGCCTGCACCTTCCGCAGCAAGATGGATGTTTGGGCAAGGCCTGCACAGGGGCAAAGCACCCATTTCAGAAGGTTTCCAGCTCCTCCCTATGAGCTGTGGCTTCAATTTTTATCCTCGGGCAAGGAAAGGGAGAGCCGAACAGAATTTTAAAAACAAAGACAGCATTAACGCAGCAAGGTGCTGCCCCGGGAGATGGTGGAACTCCCCTCTGCTGGAGTCCAACCTGTAATGACCAGGTGATGACCTTTTGTAATATTTATTTTTGGCACAACTTGATGATCAAGGCAGCAATTCCCTCCCACATCACTTGGGAAATAGGAATTAAACAGCTGAGTGTGTGACATCCAACCCTGGCCTGGTAAGTTGAGCCACGCTAGGAACCAGGCTGGCAGAGAGAAACCTGAAAAGCAGATGAATTGCAAAAATACGAGGGTGGGTTGGTTTTTTTTTGAAGACCCTCTGCAAAGGTCCGTGGGCTGCTCTGGGGCAGGCTCAGCAATAACCTACCAATGGCAAAAAATGGCAAAAATAAACTCCCCAGCAGCCCAAAGTCCAACGCAGGGGAGGGAGCATGGATCCGGGGCCAAAATCCCGCGGGGCCGCTGCAGTTCCTGCATCTGCCAAGAGAGAAAAATCATCTCAAAAGCGAAAATGCAAAGAAAAGAAAGTCGATTTTTTTCAAAAGAGCCATGTGTCTGCAGCGCCGCTCGGTGAAGGAATCGCTGGGTTTATTGGTGGCACTTTTATTAATAAGGGTGTTTGGAAGCTGGAGGCTTCGTTTATTTGGATGCCCAAGCGTGGAAAGTTGGGTGAGTGCTGGTGCGCGACTGCCGGGCTCTGTCTCCCTCTTCTGACTGTTTCCAGGCTTTATTTTTTAACAATTATTTTAGCAATGCCCAGCACAGGCCTGGAAAAACACTTTTTGAACCTTTTTTCTTTTTTTTTTTTTTTTTCCCCCCTGCAAATCCCATTGGAAATGGAGCTGTGTACTGCAGGAGCTGAGCAGTGCGGTTATTGAGTTGTTTTTTCAACAGTATGGCCAAAATTGTGGAGGTTTTCTTGACAAGTGGAGAAGGTAAAACCTGCAGCCCAGGGAAACTGGGTGCTAGTATTTAAGGAATAACAAGGTTGCTTCACCCAGGCAGCTCACGGGCTCCTGGGATTTTGCTTTTCTTCCTTCTTCCCCCTCTCTCCACAAGGCGTTCCGTAAAACCGTTAAGAAATACAAGCAGGTAGATCCAACCCGCTCTTTGTATTTATATGGATCTGGGAAGAGAAAGTTGATTTCTATTATTTTCTCTTTTTTACAGGTAAAGCAGCCACCAACAGCTTTATCCCATTTTCCTGGCTGGGCCGAGCCTGCTGATGCTGGATGCTGGCACAGGCAGCACGGAGCAGGGGGGGTGTGCAAGCAGGTTTCCAAGCCTGGATTAATACTGGGTTTTGGCAGGCGGGGAGATGGGGGGAGATGGGGGAAAGTATTGCAACAAAAATCTGAGAAAAGAACGGGAGCTGCGGGGGGCTGCTGGTGGGGAAGATGAACCAGCCGATCTCTTAGCAGAAGAGAAGGATGAAGTATGAAGTAACGCGGTGCAGCCGTTGGATATGGAGCAGGGGACGCGGAATACGGAGGCGTCCAGTCGCAATAGAATCCAGGACGCGTTGCCTCGATGATACTTATGTGGCTTCTCAGTTGGTGTAAAAGTCTTGGGCTGAGTGGACTGTGGGTTTCTCCTGGGGGATTAGAAATTATTTAAAATAATCCCTGGAGGGGTTGAAGAGTCGGGCTGAGCCAGCGCTGAGGGGTCTGGGGGAGTTGGGGACGGTCAGGGGGAGGCTCATGGTTGGGCTGGAGGAGCTGCAGGGGCTTTTCCAACCCGGATGGTTCTGGGGTTCTGTGATTCAGACACTAGCTTGGGCACCTGGCTCCCCTCCCCACGGACAGCCGGTCTGCAAATACCTGTAAAACAGGAGCGTGAAATCATCGGTGCGCTTTGCAAAAGCTTTTCTCCACGCTTACAAGCAGACCTCATTACTCTAAATAAAGGGGACGCCAGTAACGTTCCCTAATTCGCCCTAAATTTTGCACGTTGAAATTGCAGCTGCCTTGCTCCAGACCTGGCCCTGCTACGTGTGGAAGAGCAAATCTAATACAACAGGAGCTGGGAAGAAAACGGGCACAGGGATAAAGCATCAAACAGGTTTTGTTTTGCTTCTGCTGAGACTCCGGATCGTGCCAACCAAACCATCTCCCCGGAGGCAAGAGAAAAGCCCCAATATTGGGTGACCTTAAAGCACGAAGTGTGATTTCCAGTCCTCGTTTTTTTGGTTTAACGATGAGGCTGGTTGTGACGAAGTGCTGGACGCTGCTTTGATACAGATTTATTGATACCCCTGTTAAAAGGAGAAGCGGAGGCGAGCCAGCCGGGCGTTAAATAGAAGCGGACAGCTGGGCGTGCTCCTGCGACCGACAGCTCCGTTTTCGTGAGATCAAATTTATGGACGTTCAACATTTTAAAAGCAAAATGCAAAATAATTCAGTACACAACCCTCATCACCCCCCCACCTCCACTCCCCAAACTGTATCTGATGGCGCCAGGGGTTGGCCCTATCGTCCCCAGGGGCTCATCCTGTCATGCCCAGGAGCTTTCTGGAGCCCCCGGGAGTTTTAGGAGCGTTCTCACTGGTGGTGATGCTTCTCTGCACCTTTCTGAGGAATTTCCTTCCATTTCTTAAGCTCAGATGAAGACGATATTGCAGAGACCAAAAAAGTAAAAGCAGTTGCCGTCCCAAATCCCTAGAGATCAAGCTAAAACTGGTGGGGGAAAAAAAAAAACCAACAAACTGACAACCCCAAAAGATGCAAATTGGGGGTGGACAACTTGAATTTTCCTACATCCTGTTGGTCTGATATCTAGAGACCGTCACCGTGCGAGACCAGGTCTCTGCTGGCTTAAACGTCCCATCTTTTCCAGAGGTCTGTTTGCATCCCATGATGCCTTTCCGCTCCCAAAATCAATCAGCATCACCCAAAATACATTTTAACCTGGGATCCGCAGAGCGTTCGGCAGTAGACATCGATCCGATGGTCGCAAGAGCAGCTTTATCTCAAGGCAGTCTGGGCTCCCGCACCCGCCAGTGCCTGTGATTAACTCCGTGGCCCCGTCCTCCGATTTCTGAGCGTTTTTGGGGAGCTCGAGGTGAGTTTATTAACGGTAAAATTTGTTTGTGTGGAACTGACAGCTGGTGGCGTTTAATTGGCAAAGGGAGCAGCGCTCTTCTTTCCTCCCCTTATTTCTAGTCGCGTTTTCCAACAGCTCTAGTCCGTGTTGAGCTTGTGTTTGTGTGCAAGGATTTGGGGGGGAAAAAAAATCTTTATACGTAAAAAATTAGAGGAAAAAAAATCCTGGGCTATAAACCAGCCATAATCAAACAGGACCTTTCATTTATCAGTGAATCTAACGAAGTGTGGGGTTTATCAAATGATGGGTTATTTTTTGCTGCCCAGAAGAGCTGTGGTAGTGCTCTCACCGGCCACGCTAGATTGAAAAAAAAAATTAAAAAAATTCATATTTCTTCCCAATACGGACCCAGCTGAAGGGTTGTGTATCCATCATCTGGGGTCCCCAGCCTTGCACTGAAGCTTGTGGGGAAACGTCTTGGGGGGGGCGGGTTGTGACGCTTCATCTATTAAAAGCTACGGGATCATTTTTAAAGCAAAAATATTTATGCTCGCAGCTGGGTGGATATTTCACTCTTTCTCCTGCCAGCACCAGCCTCCTAAAATCCTCAGAATTAGCCCCATAATGTTACTCCTAGGAAGCCAAGGCTTGTGCTTGACGTTATCCCTTAATACGCCCAGGTTTGGGACACAGTTGTCCATCCAGAGGTGTTTTCCCCTAAAATAAATTGGTTCCTGCACCTGTGTAAAAAATTTTGAGTTAACGTGCTCCAAAAAAAGTAAAAAATCCCAACTCTGTTAAATCAAGAGGTGTCTTCAAACAGCAACTGGGTTAAGGGTGGAGCCCACGTCGGACTAAAAACGGTCTTTGCCTCGGGGGGAAAATGGGTCAATAATTGGGCAACACAAGCAGAGCCGACCTGGCCAGCCCTGGACACTTGCAGCTATTTAGGTGCACACCCTGTTCACTTTGTATTTTTAACCTATTTGGCTTGAATTGGGAATTTTCTTCCCTAAAATCGATGGGTAACGAGATGATATTGCCACGGATGGAAGCAGCCGGCACAGGGGCCGTGGGGAGGCTGGCCCTCCAACCGCTCTCAAAGTGACTTTGGGAGGCATCGACCGGGCTGCCATGAATAGTAACTGTTCTCCCATCCAAGTCAAGTGTGAAAGGCAATCACTGGAGGTCAGATAATTAAGAGATTAATTAGCATTCGTGGCAAAATCCAAAGAAACTCATACGGGGAACAAAACGGGTTTGAAGGAAGATATCTGGAAGTGGCAGGGTGTGTAAGGTGTAAAATCTGTGCTTAAAAGATGGGGAAAAACGAACTCTGCTTCTGCAAAACCCCTTTTATCTGTGCACGACGCCCCCAAAAAAATTAAACAGGTGCTTATTAACGGCTGGACTAGATGATCTTCAAGGTCCTTTCCAACCGAGCTGATTCTGTGATTATCGCCAGCAGGCAACCCCTGAACTTGTGTCCGTAGTTGTACCAGCGCATCTCTGGAATAATCTCTTACGCTTCACTTGCACCTTCCTTTGAGCAGCAGAAATAAGGGATTGGAGACGTAACCCCGGTGAAATTTATCTGGATTTTCTTCAAAATGAGGTGGAGCGCGGGCAGGGCCGGGAGCTCACTGTGGCAAGGGAGATGCGGGCACTTGCAGGAGGTGCCAGAGGGTCCCCGGTGCATCCGCAGGGAAGCTCCTGACTCCCCGGTGCATCCTTGTCCCTTGCTGGGAAGGACCCTGTGACATCTCCAGGCCTACGTGTGAGGATTCCCAGAGCAGGGAGCACCCGGTGGGCGTGCAAAGAGGCCGTTTCCCTGCCCATCACCCTTTAAATTCTCCCTCCTTTCTCCTCCCCACAGCTCAGCTCTCTCCGAGCGGCAGCACCATGCTGGAGGATGAGGATGGGATGAGCGAGAGGGGGCTCAGCACCTCGAGGAGGAGATACGACGATGAGGAAGGTGAGTGAAACCTTGGGGATGCTCCAAATGGCAGCTGGCTCTTCCCTCGCCGGGTGACGCATCGGATCTCCCAGCACTCGGCCGCTCCCGTGGGCAGCATGAGGAAAGCTCCTGGGGGGGGTTTAAGCCTGGTGGGAAGAAGACAAATATCTCCCTGGATTTCTCTTTGGGTTTTTTTTTTTTTTTTTTTCAACTGAGAAACACACAGATCTGCTCTCTAAAGCTTTTATTTTCATCCCCATCCCCTCTAGATTACCACTCCATCTACATCGGGGTGCCGGTGCCCCGGGGGTACCGGAGGAAGCGGCGTCGGCGAAGATCTGTCTCCAGCCGGGACAGGACGAGCGAGAGCGAGCGGCACTACGAGCGCCAGGATCGCTCCGACACCGACGACGGCGGCCACGGCTGCTACGAGAGCGGCAACGACAATGCCAGCAGGACCAGTGAGTCCTCCTCGGGCTGCCTGAAAAAGCAGGGAGGGGTTTTCAGCGTCATTTAATTCAGGGTTAAATCGCCACGTTGCTTGGTCCGGTGTTCGCATCGGGCACCGCTTTTCCCAACGCTGCCCAGTTTTGTTTTTCCCGGTGGATGTCTCTGAGAGCGGGGCGCGGGGCGGGAAGTGAGATTTGAGGCTTCTTAGATGGTGGTGGGGCTAAAAGCCAGTTGGCTTTGCTCCTGGGAGGCTGCTAGCGAGGAAATCGGGGTACAGCGGGGTGCCAGGGATGCAGACATCCTCTGGGCATCGCACCTTGTTCCCCACAGGCTTTTGCCCAAGGCTTTGACCAGTCTCCTTAAATCTCCTTAGCAAAGATTAACATTTTGCACAGTAAAGTAGCTGTCGATCTCTTGGTCTTGGTTTTTGGTTTTTTTTTTTTATCAACCCCCTATAGAAATTTGCGTTTGGGTTTACGTCGAGCAGACCACGTCACGGCTCAGCAGAGCGGGCAGGGGCTCGGCTTTACTTTTCCCTACGGAAGGAAAAGTTTTCAAGGTTTTTTGGTTTTTTTTGCACAGGGAGAGATTTTTTATTTGCAGTGAGCTTTGCTCACAGCTCCTTCATGCCTTTGGTGGCGGCGCGAGCGGGACCAGGTCCCCTCCTTTCCCCAGGCGGTAAATGCCACCGGTGTATAACACTGGGCTGGTTTTCACGGGGCAAAGTCATTTTATGGAGGAAAAACACCGCAAAAAGCCTCGACTCTGCATCCCCCAGGAAATCTCCCTCATTTGGGCGTTTTTTTCCCTCAGAAAAAAAAATAAAAATCTCTGCCCTGAGCTTGGAGGGGATTTTCTCACCTCGCTCCAGGTGGGAGACAAAAACCCTTCACAAAATAACCCCAAACCTGTAATTTCTGTCCACTCGCCTCTTCCTCCCTCCCTCCCTCCCTCCCCTTGCTCGCTCCATCCCGCTGCCACCCCAAGTGCTCACCTCTCCTACACGCATCCCGTTTGATTTGGTAACTTCCCGTCATGAGAGCCAAAGCGAAAGGAAAGTGCTTTATATTCTCTATAATCTGCTCCTTAAGCC